GACCCGATCCCATCCGCAGTGGGCACCCCGTATAAACTCTCCAGCTTTTGCACAGTGACACGTACCAATTTGTCTTAACAGATCAATATTTTTGTAATACGTGTTAGCTCTATTCTAGAGAAAATTCTATAATAAATACTCATAACAAATCCCAGAGGGTGGTTTCTACAGATTTTTAAAAGTTTTCAGCAGGGACAATATCGTTTTTAAAAGCAAGTTCGTTATTTTTTTCTTCTAATCTCGAGATTACCTTTTTTAAATGCATCTCTTAAGTACTTTTAGGACAAAAAAGTGTTTACTATAAAATTAATTTCTTGTGACTAGTTTTGCCACTACAAAGTGTCATAGGCGAACTTTGACGTAAGCCATAATTGGTGTAGTATGCCAGATGTGTGTGAAAAGCGGGAAGTGCTGTGAACAATTCCATTATCCGCGTGAAGCAGATTTGTAATATTTTATATAAATTGATGAAGAAAAGTTTGTTCTTTCAAATCTAGTTTTAGTCTGTTTGTTTTAGTAGAGGTTTTACGGCGCTCGCAACTGCATAAAGTCATATGAGCGCCAGAAGAATAGAGGTGTTACAAGAGAGTAACAAACATAAAAAAAGAAAAAGGGGAGATAAGGACGATAGATGTTTGATAGGGGAGAAGAAGCAAAGGACACCAGAGCACCCGCCAACCACCCACTTTTTAATCTAGCGTAGTGGAAAAAATATGATTAATTTGACAAATTAGTGCAAACTGCTGTGCAAAATTTGGGTAACGTTGATTCACCCGTTAAAAAAGATATTTGAGGATAAGTTGCACCACGAATTTCTGAACGCACTAATAGCTTGCAATTATGTGCGATCTTTGCGAGTCTTTTCAGTGGTCGGCTTAATGCGAACTGGTGAGTCATTTTACAAAAAAAGTGGGACAAGTTTGACAACCGGGTTGTTTTTATGCTCCATATAGAGCAAAACTATTCAGTGGAACTCTCCGAAATGTATATCAGCCAAAGTCTTTTGACTTCCAAATTTTGTGTTCAAATTTGAAATGCAAAACTTTAGTGTGGAGGGAGATATTTACAAAAGAAAAAGTTAGGGGCACGCAGATTTTTTTGGTTTATATAATCAGGTCATTATATTCTAAAATGCAGATTGGTGTTTCTGACATTTGTATGATGTTTAGAAACTATAGAGGTGCCTTTTGTCCACTGCTGATAGGAAGCGACTTCATTATGTGGCAGCTGCTCATTAAACTCTACAGAGCAAAATGCTAGAAGGGTGGCGCAAGTGTTTTAAGGAGCTCGCAACTGCATACGGTCTTATGAGCGCGCGGGACATGTTTAACATTTACATTTGATTGGATTTAATTTATAATTTTGTCCGGGTGGCGGCCGAAGTCTACTTTTATCGATTTTGGACCGCCAAAGGTCCTCCGAGATTTATCCGAGAAGGCTAGGTATAGATCTTACATACCAGAAGATCAGCAGTGTGGCTGAAAGACAGCAGTAAGAAATAGCCAAGGAGTAGCAGTAGAAAGGCTGTAGAAAGAGTCGAGAGCCCAGAGGAGGGGGCAAAGGAGATGAGAGGGTGGGGGCAGAAAGTGGAGAGGAAAGCAGACGACAGGACATTGTTAGAGAGCAGGAAAGGATATGGAAGGAGAACATTTTAGAGAAGAAAATTTTCCTGAGCTATCCGAATTCGAACCCACAGGCTATTGAAAGAAAGGCGAACACCTTAACGTCTTGCCATGAGAGCCCCTAAAAGCAGGTTCCTGTCTCTGATGTTTGTATGATGGTTCCGAACTATAGAATTGCTTTTTGTCTGCTGCCGATGGGAAGCAATCCTATTATATGGCAGCTGTGGTCTTGAAGAGTGCACGACAACAGAACAGCAGCAGTTATTTAAAAAAATAATTTTCGTAAGAGTTTTACGGCACTCACAACTGCTTAAGGTTATGTGAGCGCCAGAAGACTAGAGATGTTACAAGAGAGTAACAAACATAGAAAAGAAGAAGGGGAGATAAAGACGATAGATGTTTGATAGGAATGAAGAAGCAAACCACACCAGAGCACCCGCCAACCACCCACGCAGCAGTTATAGCACAATGAGCAACGAAACAATAAATAATAACATTGTACAAACAACATCCTTGGCAAATCACTACATCAGAATGACAAAGTTCTATGAGCTCAGTAAAAATCTACCTAGTTTTGAGAAATTTGACGTCAAAGACTTTGAGTTTCACATCAAGTCAAGCTCTTTTCAAATGCACCACTACAGAACGATTTTACAACCACGCCATTGCTGGTCGCCACTGCACAGCGCCCTGTTCGTTGAGCTAGGGTTGTCGTGTCTTGCTCAAGGACACACCCCAGTGACCACCCATCTGGTAAAAGCAAAAATATCGTATTTCAGACTTGCAACTTTTCAGGAGTATATTAATAATCAATCTACTACTGTCTTACGTCTCACGTAACAACATTAATAATTCTACTTTTCTTTTCCTAGTCAAACCTCTTGCTTATCTGCAAATCTCTACAGGTTCACCATTTTGACATGAACAGCATTCTGGCATGCTTAGTTTTCGCACCTCTCAGTTCTTTAAAAAGAATGTCGTAGCTTTAAAAAAAATACTAGAGGTCGTGCTTTGCACCCAGAATAAGATAGGTGAGGCAGCGTGGTGAAATCAGGCGCTTGTCAAAATACAGAATTCGGAGAAATAGGCATTTTTCCACCAGTTTGGAAATATTCATCGAAATTTTATTTTTCAGCACAACCTCTTTTATGTCCATATTATGAGAACACATTTCTGTGTAAATTCTACTGAAAAAACATTGACTAAAGGCAAAATAATATGTCATTTTTCTGTTTTTAAGGACTCTTTGGCTAGTGGAGTTGCTAAACCTAGGCTGCCATTATCTCGACATTTGGCCACTGAAAGAAGGCGACCCCTCTTCCTTCAATCGTAAATATCTTGAGTTCCATTATAATGGATATTTCTTTCATTGGAAGCAAGGCAAATAGATCAGATTTTTTATAAGTACAAATAACTCCACATGCCCAAAAATTGACGAGCGCCTGATTCCACCACGTCGTGACACATATTACATTATGCTTTTCTTGTCTGTTTTTCTTTATCCATACCCTGTCGTTTGTCTCAATGCCTTTTCTGTCTGGCTACCTATATTCTCACGCCTGGTGAGAATAGCTTATGACCCCCTAATTCTCACACCACCACCACCCCCCCTCCCCCCCGCTGTGAGCATGAGGCGATCCTTAATATTCTTTAAATTAGACTAGGTCTAGATCTATAATTGTGAGGACCCGTAGGTACAAGCTGCGTACTTCTCTTAGCATTTCGTCCTTGCATAACCATAGATCTAGATCTAGACAAGATTTCTAGTCTAGGTGTAGATCTAGATTTTTAGATCGTTTTTATGTGGGGGTTTTTGTGTGTTTTTTTTTTTTTTTTTTTTTTGGGGGGGGGGTTGTAACTCTGTTGTTTGCTGTTCATGGTGTGAAATGGCCTTCACCCAGTCCATTAAATAAACTAAACCTGAAATTTATCTAGGTCTCTACAACCTATAAGCTCTTCTCTGTGCTTTTCTGTGTGTGTCTGTGCCTTAGATAGACTATAGGACTACTGTATGTTAGCACACCTGAGGGGGGTCAGACTAGCGAGACATATATGAGGCAGCGTGGTGGAATCAGGCTCTTGTCAAAATAATGAAACCGAAGAAAACAGCAGTTTTCTCCCTGGTTAGCAATTTTTATAAAATTTTAGTTTTTTGGCCCAACACCTTTTATGTCCATTTACAAACACATTCCTTTGAGGATTTCACGGAAAACGTTGATTAAACGCACAAAAGTATAAATTTACAATTTCCATGAACTCTCTAGCTTTGGAATTTACCAAGCTTTGGCGGCCATTTTCTCGCTAATTTTACCTCTTAAATCAGGTGGCCCCAACCTCCTTCAATCCAAAATATCTCCACTTCTATTGAAGATGAAAGGGTATCTTTTCATTGAAAGCAAGACAAATAAACAAGCTTTAAGATGATACCTATAACTCAATATGCCCAAAAATTGACGATAGCCTGATTCCACCACGCTGCCTCACATATACTGGGTGCCCACTACAGCTAGATCGGGCCCATCGCCCGACTCGGTCGACTGAAACTGAAAACAAACACGTTTGTTTTTTAGGCGATCGAGTCGGGCGACCGGCCCGATCGGCGGATCCCGTCCGTAGTGAGCACCCCGTAATAGGGCCATAGGCTATTCTCAGCCCTGGTTAGAATTACCACTTCTTTTCTGTCTTCCCTGTGCAGTGATCGAATACATGGACCCCAAGCACCGCACCATCGTCAGCTTGGTTAACCGCATGAGCTTCACACTGACACAGATGAGCCTCATTCCCATCGCCTACCTGCAGAATGACTGGCAGGTTCTACAGACCATCATCATCTGGCCCTCCGTGCTGCTCTTCCTGGTTATCTGGTGTGTGTTCTAGTTGTCTGGTGTGTGTGATGGAGAAATGTGAGGCATCGTGGTGAAATCAGGCGCTCGTCAAATTTATGAAATCCAAGAAATTGACATTTTTCCGCCTGTTCTGCAACTTTTGTTAAATTTTTGGCTTTGGGATCAACATTTTCTTTACCCATTTAGAAACATTTCTGTTTTTATTCAACTGAAAGCGTTGATCGAAGAGACTAACATTTAAATTGTCAGATTCCAGGAACACTATAGCTTTGGAAGTAATTAAACTTTGGCGGCCATTTTGTCGCAAATTCGTCTTTAAGAGCAGGCAAACCTTCTCCTTCGATTCCAAATATCTCGATTCTATTCAAGATAGATCGGCATTTTTTTTCTCATCAAAACCACGAAAAATGAAGAGGCTTTAAGATAATTCCAATATCATTATATGCCAAAAAATTGACGAGCGCCTGATTCCACCGCGTCGTCAAACAAATTATACTTATTAACCTCGTCTCCTTTCGCCCCTTGCCGCCGCCATCATGACCTACAAATGCGAATCAACATTTGCGAGAGAAGCGTCGGTCGGCTCGTTCTCCGAGGGGTGGTGACCCGTGTGTTGTTTTACCATTGCACTCGGTTTTCATTGTTTTACATATTTCGTTTTTTCTACTTTTTCTACCCTTGAAAAAAATCAGCAACAAAAACAAGAGAACTAAAAAAAACAAACAAACCAACAAACAAAAACGGACAAAACAAAACAAAAACACTTTTCAGAAGTCGAGTCGGGTGATCGACCCGACCTGATCCGATCCCATCCGCAATGAGCGTCCGGTAAAACATCAACATCTGATCCCAAAGACGATTCTAGTCGAACTTTGTGTATAAAACAGCACGACAAATCTTAGACAAAGACCTGTACAGGCGACCACTTCTCACATCCCATGAACGAATTTTTATATAGCGCATATCCATGCTCAAGAGCATGCTCTATGCACTTTACAACTATTATTACCCCAGCAGACCCTCTGAGAACACTCAGAAACATTCTCGGCTTCCGCGGAAGCATACAGTGCTAGCTGCGGATTTCGCGCGCTCAAACACTATCAAACTGACAAGATCGTTCCCTGTCTATAGCCGGGTACCCATTTCCACCTGGGTGAAGTGAGGAAAATTTGTGCAAAGAGCCTTTCCCAAGGACACAACGTCAGACCCCCTGACGGGATTCGAACCGACGACCTAGCGGTTGCGAGTCCGAGAGTCTAACCAGTAGGCCACCGACGCCACGTTTATAATATATAACGTAGACAAAGACCTGTACAAGCGATCACTTCTCCAGGGCAACGTTTTTTCTTATCGACAGTTGGTGACTGTCCTGGACTGTTTCGACTGTGTGTGTGTGTGTGTGTGTGTGTGTGTGTGTGTGTGTTTGTGCATATATATATATATTATTATAATAATATATTGTATATGTGTGTGTGTTTTATCTGTGAGTGGAATCAGGCGCTCGTCAACTTTTGGGCATAGAGTCATTTATATAGTTCTAAAGTTTGTATATTTGTGTTGCATATAGCGAAAGAAATTACCTATCTATCTTGAATAGACAGCGAGATATACTATGTGATTAAAATTAAAGGCGATGGGGGTTGGGTAGTATGAGGGGTAAAATTAGCGAGAAAATGGGCGCCCAAGTTTGGTGACTTCCAACGTTTGAGTGTCGCTGGAAACTGGAAATTCACACTTTCAGTGCCTTCAATCAGCATATTTCGGTAACGTCTACACAGAAGTGTATTTTTAAAAGGACATAAAAGGTGTTGAGCTAAAAAAAAAAAAAAAAACAAGAAAAAAACAAGAAAAATATTCAATAAAAATTGCCCCAACGCCTAGAAAAAAAATGCCAGTTTCTCTGATTTGATTATTTTGACAAACGCTTGATTTCTTCACACTGACTCACAAAACCAGCGCGGTGGAATCAAGCTCTCGACAGTTATTGGTATCATCTTAAAGCTTGTTTATTTGTCTTGCTTTCAATGAAAAAGTTACCAATCCATCTTTAATAGAAGTGGGGATATTTTGGATTGAACAAGGTGGGGGTCACCTGGTTTAAGAGATAAAATTAGCGAGAAAATGGCTGCCAAAGCTTGGTAAATTCCAAATCTGGAGAGTCCATGGAAACTGTAAATTTATATTTTTGTGCCTTCAATCAATGTTTTTGGTGAAATCTTCAAAGGAACGTGTTTGTAATTGGACATAAAAGATGTTGAGCCAAAAATTTTTTTTGTAAATTGCTAAGCAGGGAGAACACTGCTGTTTTCTTCGATTTCATTATTTTGACGAAAGCCTGATTCCTCCACGCTGCCTCACATATTGTTATCCTTTGACATACAGGTTCATCCCAGAGTCCTCAAGATGGCTTGTAGCGAAAAACAAAAGAGGAAGGGCAGAGAAAATCGTACAGGTAAAAAAAACACCCCAAAACATTTGTCTGTGGGGTTTTGGATCATGCCCTGGTGTGGTTTGCTCCTTCTTTGCCATCAAAATCTGTCGTTCCTAACTCTCCCCGTTCTTTTCGTGTTTGTCACTCTCCTGTAACACCTCTGATCTTCGGCACCTGTATGAGCTAATTGTGTTGCAAGTGCCGTAAAACGCTTACTAAAACTTTAAAAATAACTCAAGTCGTAATATGATCTTCGGAAAGTCTAAAACGAAACTGGAAAGCGCAAATACCAGAAGACTTGAACGACTGTTTAAGCTATGCTATTTGGCTGCCGTTTCAAAATAGTGCATCTAAATGAGGCTGCAGGTTTTAAAATTTTTTAGCAGTACATCGTTTCGCAAGTATGAGGGATTTTTGTAAATGCATACTGTATAGAGTAGGAAAAAGACCAAAAGTGTATACACGAGAGAGACAGACAGACAGACAGACAGACAGACAGACAGACAGACAGACAGACAGACAGAAAGACAGACAGACAGACAGACAGAGAGAAGAGAGAGAGAGAGAGAGAGAGAGAAGAGAGAGAGAAGAGAAGAGATAGAGAGAGAGAGAAGAGAAAGGGAGAAGAGGGGAAGGAGAGAGAGAGGAGAGAGAGAGAGAGAGGGGGAGAGAGAGAGAGAGAGAGAGTAAGTCTGATTCCCTGTACGGACTTCTCTGATGACACCCACCTCTTGGCGCTCATATGACCTTATGCAGTTGCCAGCGCCGTAAAACCTCTACTAAAACCTCCACCCCTTGGCGCTCATATATGACCATAATATGCAGTTGAGAGCGCCGTAAAACCTCTACTAAAACAAAACTAAAAACTTTGTCCATGTAGAGAGCTGCCCGGATCAACAGAGTGAAGCTTCCACAGAACGTGATGTCGGAGCTACAGGTCAACTCTGACCGGACATCTGTCTCTCCCTGGCCGCTGTTTAACAACCCCAAACTGTGCGTGCGTTGGGCTGTCATTTATTCCAACTGGTAAGGATGAGGTTTTTTTTTTCATTTTCTAAATACTGAGTTTTTGCTTGTTTTTTGTTGTTGTTGTTGTTGTTGTTTTATTGGTTTTTTTTGTTTTTTTTGTTGTTTTTTTCACTCGTGGATGCAAAAAGCTTGCGGATTTCTGTCTGGACAGTTGTAATGATAATAATAATAATAATAATAATAATAATAATAATAATAATAATAATAATAATAATAATAATAATAATAATAATAATAGTAATAGTAGTAGTAGTAGTAGTAGTAGTAGTAGTAGTAGTAATAATAATAATCATAATCATAATTATAATAATAATAATAATAATAATAATAATTAATAAATAAATAAATAGATAAATGATAAATATTATAATAATAATAGTAATAAGAAGAAGAAGAAGAAGAAGAAGAAGAAGAAGAAGAAGGAGAAGAAGAAGAAGAAGAACAACAACAAATATAATTTCTATAGCGCATATCCCCGCTCAACAGCAGGCTCTATGCGCTTTACACTATATTCTCATTACCCCAACAGACCATAGACCACTCAGAAATATTATCAGCTTCTCGGGAAGTATACATTGCAAGCAGCTGATCAAGCGCTCCAACACTAACAAACTGACAAGATCTTTCACTGTCTGTAGCTGGGTACCTATTCCCACCTGGGTAAAAGTGAGGGAAATTCGTGTAAAATGCCTTTCCCAAGGACACAACATCAGGCACCTGACGGGATCCGAACTTACGACTTTACGGTTGCGAGTCTGAGAGCCTAAAAACAAGGCCACCAACTCCTAACTTACAACTGGTCGCTTTTGAGCACAAGGGGGCGATCCCGAAAAATGCTGTTTGGAGAAAATCGAAGGCAAAGTTTTTGTCCCTTGTTCCGTTTCTTTAAAAGACAAGAAGAGTTTTCTCTATAACCAAACAAATATACACACCAATGAAACCAAACTAGTCATATATGTAGGGCAAGACCCTATTTTAGAGTAGGTCAAGATTTCTGGAAACCCCCGAAATATGGGATAGCCCGCTCGTCCTTAAAAGCGACCAACTTACAAAACTGTAACAATCTTCCACAGGTTAGTTATTTCTATGACGTTCTAGAAAAATCTTCCACAGGTTTGTCATTTCTATGAGGTTCTAGAATAATCTTCCACAAGTTCGTCATTACTATAACGTTCTAGAACATATTTCCACAGGTTTATCATTACTGTGACGTACACAGGTTCATCATTTCTATGATGTTCTAGAACAATCTTCCACAGGTTCGTCATTTCTATGACGTTCTAGAACCATCTTCCACAGGTTCGTCATTTCGATGACGTACTACGGCCTCACCCTGAACGTGTCCAACATGGGGGGCAATATCTTCCTCAACTTTTTCCTCACCGTCATTGTCGATTTCGTCGCTTCCACGACCACCGGATTGCTGGCCGAGAAGTTCAGCCGGAAGCGCTTCCACATAACTGTCTTGACCATCGGTGGATGCGCATGCGCAGCTTCTTTCATTCCTGTCATTACCGGTGGAAACAGTAAGTGTGCGGGTGCTCTGCGGGTGCTCTTGTGTGCTCTGCTCTGCTCCGTATTTCCCACAAAACATCTTTACTTTACTTTTTACTTTTTCCTTCCTCTTGTATCCTTATATACGGAGTGCCTACGACAGATAGGATCGGCCGATCGCCCGGCTCGGTCGCCTCAAAATAAAAAGTGTTTGTTTTCAGTTTCAGGCGACCGAGTCGTCCACCGTAGTGGGCACATCGTATTAGGATGTTGAGGGGAGGTGCAAGTTTCGGCCCTGTGCTAGGTGTGTAGCGTCTGTGATAGATATGTTATGTTGTTCCAGGACCTTTTTAACCCCATCCAGCCAGGTCTTTCTTGGTCTTCCTCTTGATTTGAAGCCGGATTCTAGGGTGTTGTAAGCTCTAGCTGTTAGTTGTTTCTGGGGCATTCTGGTTAGATGTCCAAACCATTTGATTCTTTGACGCTCTATGAATGTTATTACTAGTGGGATTCCAGTTTGTAGACGTATGGTTTCGTTTCTTATGCGGTCTCTTCTGGTGACGTTGGTGGTTTTGCGGAGAGACCTCTTTTCGCATGCAATTGTCCTGTTACACCATACTCTCCAATGTGTGCCCTAGCACTTTCAGTGAAAGTGAAAGTTTCACGAATCAAAAGGAAGTCAGAAGCTTGGTTTTGGGTACCAACTGAAAACTGTTGTCTCGAGAGAGATAACACACTCTGACCCACTTTGTT